TAAATTGTTCTTTTACTCTTTTAAACAGCAACAGCTCCAGAATGAGTTGAACTTGTGCAAAGTGAGATGTTTAAACCCCCAAACCCGTTTAAGTAAGTATATGATTTATTCACTCAAAACACTCACAGAAAAACCCTAAGACATGATTATCATTTCTCATATTATGTGTGTGATGTATCTAATCGGAACGTTTCTATAACAGTTACCTTTAGTTACTGTTATTTTTTATGTCTTCAAGTCCCACAGCCAACTGGAAACATCTGTGGGCCGTTGGTTCAGCAAATGAAAGCTGGACTTGAATTATTGGAATCCAACTTAACTCAAACAAAGCGGATAATGACAATGGAAAAAGAACAGATTGCAAAAGAAAGGGACAACCTTAACCTGGAAGCCATCCGTCTCAGGAGGGACAAATCTACTCTGGAAAAGGAGCTAGAGCTCTCCAAGCAGAGTACAAAGGACCAGTTCTCCCAGTTGTTGGCTCCTGTCTCCGGTGTCTCTAAGGCTTTACTGGAGAAAATTGATTCTCTCTTCCCTGAGCACCTCCGATTCCAGCTCACTTGTGAAAAACAGAAGGAACACCTGGAGCAGATCCAGTCCAACTGCACCAACCTTTCCCGGGAAGTAGAGGGCAAGCTCCAATACTACCTGAACATTGTAGGAGACAAGGTGTCGAACATGCAGAACGAGAACAACCACTTAAAGGCAGAGAACTGGCGTCTGTCTGAGGACTATCGCTGGTGTAGCCAAAATCGTACGAGCATGATGAACGAGCACAAACGTAACGGAGAAGAAGTTCAGCTGAAACACGATCAGGAGAAGGAGAGACTCCTGATGGACAAGATGAAGCTGAATGGAGAGATAGAGATCCTGAAGAACAGCGTGAAGTACAAAAATGCAGAGATGGACATTCTGAGAGAACAATATAATCATCTCAACATGTCATGCACGTCAAGGGTAAGAATCAAAACCTTCACGTGTTTTATCATTACTGAAAAGGTTTGGAATGTTTTAGATTATCTCTAACTTTATCCAAAATTCAGCAAATTTAATTCAATCACAAAATGTATGTTTATCCTTTTACCTTCGTGTGTTTACACCAACTATGAGTTTGATATGGCACAAATTATGTTGATAATCTTCGCTAAATATTTAGCATTTAACTTTGTCTTCTTTTCTATTTCAGAATGGACTAGGTGGATATTCAGGAGGGGCCCTGGGGTCACGGCAAAACACACCGTTTGGTGGTGGCTCGTTTGGTGGTGGTTCCAGTCATTCATCCTCCAGTACTTACAATTTAGGTCAAAGTAGGACAGGAACAACTGGGTCAGGTCCAAGTTCAAGCTCTGGATTGGGATACAGTGGGGCGGCTTCTGCTGGGGCAGGCTCATCAAGCTCAACCTTCCAGCAATCTGGGTCAAGGTCAGGCCAGACTAGTGTTGGCTCTGGAGTTAATAAACCTGCATCAACAGGGGGTGCTCTTCCGAACCAGCCATCATTTGGCACAAATCTTGGGTCAAGTGGGACAGGATTAAACAAACCAGACAGTGGAAGAAGCTCAACAGGCTTTGGGTCACCATTTGGGTCTAGTTTAAACCAAGGGTCAAGTGGGACAGGATTAAACAAACCAGACAGTGGAAGAAGCTCAACAGGCTTTGGGTCACCATTTGGGTCTAGTTTAAACCAAGGGTCAAGTGGGACAGGATTAAACAACCCAGATAGTGGAAGAAGCTCAACAGGCATTGGGTCACCATTTGGGTCTAATTTAAACCAAGGGTCAGGTGGGACAGGATTAAACAACCCAGACAGTGGAAGAAGCTCAACAGGCTTTGGGTCACCATTTGGGTCTAGTTTAAACCAAGGGTCAAGT